CATATATTAGGTTGTACATCTGTACAAAAGCAATACGAAGAAGGATCGATTTTTATAAAAAATAAAGTACCTACCTATCCATATATAACTAACACGTAGACCTAATTTTCGATAAAGTTAGTAAAATACCTACTATCTTCATAAAGCTTAGTTCTATACCAATCAGATTCATAGATTAAAAAAGAATTAAATGATCGTAAAATAGCGGGATGGTTGCTGTGACGCAAATGCGCGTGAACCTTGACATTTTACTCTAGAGCAGAGGATACAAGTACTGTTGGTGACTACAGGCCGGCAATAAATCCAATAGCCAATAGAACAATAGGAATAGCAATGCAACCTAACTATTTAGGTATTGTGTAGAGATTTAACACTTCAGTCTAATCCCAATAAGTGTCGGATACCACTTATTTTTAAAGATGGCATTCTGAGGATAATAATACATAGACAATACATAATACAAAAGGAACACCTCATTTTTATAATAGTTAATGCTGATTCCGCTTTTTAAATTCACTGGGTTCTTAAATCATTGTCTAGGTACGAGTCTGATAGCTTTACAGTTAGCTCACGGCTATTTCAAACAATAACAAAAATTCTAAGAGGTATAACATCACTTACCTATTAACCCTTAACCTGATAATCTTATGAGCTAAATTTCCCTTTCAACGTTGCGTCTGGCCTAGTTAAAATTTCACGGTGAATTGATTACTGCTCACCTTCCGCTCCTAATCCGACTACTTAAGTTGGTATAATTGGACATGGGAACTATTTTTTACTTGGATTAGCCACGCGTGGAAGGAGGGTTGGAAAGTGTATTTTTGCATGATTTTCTTACAGGGTTCTTAACCGTGAAAATGTTTGAATAATAATTTTACCTATTTATGCAATTTCTACAAAATATAAATGGGTTAAAAAGAGAAATAACTTCAATTACCTACGCTAGCTTTTTTTGGTAACTTTTGAACCACTCTCACTCATCTGAAGTAAACGTCGCATGTAATAAATAACTTACATCCATTTATATGTGTTATGATGTATTTAAATTATATTAGTCCTATCTAAATTGTCTTGAGAGAGAGTTAAGGATATTTTGGAATGCGTAAATAAGTTCCAACTAACCCAACGAAATAAGGTCTACGAAAAGGTTTGTCCCCAATAATTATTGAAGCCCATCAATGGTCACAGATTTGCTTTCCGCTTTCCTTACGTCATTCACTGGTTGAACACTTAATTACATTAACAATTTGACACTCCATAACCAATCAAATCTTCCGTTTTATTGTAGAAATTATACCCATTCTCTTTTTTCCCTTTATTTGAATAATTTGCGTATTTAAAGAATATTAGAATAGGTAGGTTTAGGTAATTCCAGGATCCGTGCTACTACTGAGACTTTTTTTTAAACTCAGTCATAGTTTGCCCGATCCGGGAATCGAACACGAGACCCCTTGCTCTGCAGTCGCATTTGCGACCACTCGGCCAACGAGGCAGTCAAAGAATATTATACTAAATACTTAACGAAGTCGAAGTATGTATTACGAAGAAGGTGTATACCCACTTGGCAACCACATTTAATTTTTACACAAGTACCTAAATAAGCTTTATATTAAAAAATGAGGCTAATTAATTACAATATTTCAGAGCGAATTAAAATGGCTATCTTTGAGATTCCCTGAAACAGGTACTTAAGAATTAATTAAGTAGGTACATATTTCATCTTTTCAACGAAATATTTCTCCAAGGAAATTACAATTTTTCTTGACGATCTTGATTGAACGCTATTTGAGACGAAATCACTTGATGTCAAGTCGAGATTTAGTTTTTTATATTATGGCGCGGAATTCCATTTTTAAAATGCTGGGAGCATAGCAAAAAGGATACCATAAATAAGTTTTCATGCCCGTTGCCAGGGAACGTGCTAGGAAGTGTATGAGTCATTGCGTCTACTGCAATGGCAGATTGCATTTAAAAATGTAATAAATGCACATTGCACATACTTATGCCAGCAGTACCTAATAAAATGAAATTTCTTTTAAATGACGTCGTAAACTAGTCTTACGTATTGCAATGCGTAGTACTGTATTAATTGCATAGAGAAAATGAATTGTTATCGGCAATGCATACAGAACTTGTCCTTAACTCTATAATATCTATGGTTTTAAAAATAAACAGAAAAAAGTTACTATGTCTGATTTAATTATAAAAAAACGTAAGCACCTAATAATTATATTAAACGTTACAATAGTTTCATTAGAATCATTATATTAGATCGACAACACAAATTAAGGTCGTCTATCAACGTGACATAGCTAAACTGACGATGTTGTAATTTACAACATCTACGCAAATGTGGGTCACTTGATGTATCAGCTGTTTCGTGCAGGTCAGAATGATTGAATACCTCTTTATCATTAATATTACTTTGAAAAGGGTGTAAGTAAGAATTTATAAATGTGTTACAATGTAATTCAAACATTATGACATGCACTTTACACCAATTGTAATTAAAAAAAAGAATATTTACTAGTCATGGCTGTAGCGACGCTTCCCCAGTAAGCTTTGTCTTGTGCGACGTCCAATGCTGGTTCCTCAGGACTTCGAACTGGTTCGACCAGTCCAGAGACTGGCCGTGTACCCAGCAGCAAAGCCGCTGGTGAAACTTTCGAGCGACGCAGTTTGACTGTTGTCCGTCACTTCGTGCAAAACCCGCGAAAATTTTGAATTTAAAGGAACGCTTTTCGAACGCTCGAATTTCGAATGCGTTTAATTTTTTTTTTAATTGTTTATGTTATAATAAATTGAGCTACAAAAGTTATTTGTTTACGTGTTTTATATTTGAATCTACAAATTGAACTAGAAGTTTACTAAATATTTATTTAGATTCCTTTAAAACTAAGCTAATTAAAACGCAAGGAAATTGGCTACGGTTAATTGACGCATTGGCACGACACGACACAACAGCGTTGAACTACTGTAAACGTTCTACCACACAATAAACGTGATCAAACACATCTGATCGCACTGCGCCATCAAAACACCACCGATAAAATTCACAAAAATATTCCGCAACTTCAAAAACTAATTGAAAGCGAAGCAAAAATCAACGATTTTGTATTTTTAAGTCATTGATAATTTATTTATTTTGTATTGTAAATACCGAACGCGTGCTAAACTTGTGGCGGTCGGCGCCATATTGGAAACGTGAGGGTTGCTCTAGTTAACGCATGCGCAGAGCCCGCAGCCCTTACGGGGTTCTTTATTTAAATGCCACCTCGCTTTTTCTACTACGACGGGAATAATTCACACCACTACCATTGCACGGAGTGTTGAGTGGAAACAATAGCGGTGTCATACAAAAGCGGAGATGAATACTAAAGGGAAATGTTCGTCGTAAGTTTTTGAGTAATGATCACAGTCCGCGAGCTGGTATTTGTTTGTTTTCAAGAGGGACGGTGTAAGTAAAAATGTTTGCCGTTTTTTTGGGAATAAATTAAAATTGACGACGTCATATTTATTGGAAAAGGTCAAAGGCTAGGGCGTTTAAATGGAAGTCGGTAGGTATTATCAAAATTAATTGTATCCCTAACAACGTGGTATATTTAAGAGGATTTGTAGGGAACAGACGATTTATTATTCACGTAGATGTATCTAGGTACTTAATACTTGAGCTAAATTGGATAGAGTTAAATCTATTGAGATTTATTTACCTAAATAAGGCCCTATAGATTAGCATAGTAAGAAGAAACTAACGATGATAAGTAATGATAGTATGTATTTTGGGTTTTCAACAGCGGTACCTACACATACATACAGTCTGAATCTCAGTTATCTTTATATATATAATTCTTTTGTGAGTGTGTATGTCACTGAACTTCTCTCAAACGACTGGACCGATTTTGATGAAATTTTTTGTGTGTGTTCAAGCAAGGGGATCTGGGAATGGTTTAGCCCACAAATTAGCCCGGCAGATGGCGCTGCAGTCGATGTTTAGGTTATTTATCCTAAACAGCTGAACTAATTTGAATGAATTTTTGTTTATACATTCAAGTGGATATGCAGGACAACGTCTGTCGGGTATACTAATATGTCTCTTGAAAAAGTTTTCCTAATACTTGTTCAGTAAACGATAATAAAATAGAAATTTACAGTTTCAATGTTATTACAACTTTTATATGACTTCTAAGGTACTGAACAGTTTTCTTTTGTTGCGTACAAGTTTCCCCTTCCAAGTTGTTCAGATTGCTAAAACTTTTACAGTTTTGGTCGGCGGATATATCTTCGGGATCTCTTGAGGTTTCAGCATTCAATATAAGATTTTCAATGTTTGCTTTGTTTCAGGGCGATCTCACATTTTGGATAGTTATCTTAAAAGAATTTCAAAATGAAGATACGGAAGTGACAAATTCTGTATTATTGGGTTATTTTCCTTTCGCGCTTATATCCATTGAATCAATGAGGTAACTGAATATTTTATTCTTTATGGCACACACAGAACAATAAGTAGACGTTGTAATAGTAATTTATATATATATAATAATATATTGTACTCTACTATATATTATTCAGAAGGGGCCTATGAGCATGGTTTTTCCTGCCGGTAGCGGGACGCAGTAACCATTTCTACTGGGTCAACCCCGAGAAGGTGAGACCTCCACATCATAATATATATATTATACTAGCTGATCCGGCAAACTTCGTACCGCCTAAAAAGTTTTGTCATCCTATAAACCTTCCCTAGACTTCCACGAACATTTTAAGACCGAAATTAGCCAAATCGGTTCAGTCTTTCTCGAGTTTTAGCGGGACTAACGAACGGAAATTCATTTTTATTTATATAGATTTACTCTTTTATATATAAAATAATTCTACAACAAACTATCAACTGTTAAAATCAAAACAAATCAGTCTGGAATTCTAAAGACTTTTAGCAAAAACCATCTCTAATCAAGTCGTGCAGACAAATCGAATGTGGCAATACAAAATGAACTGTAACTTACAGAATCGTGCCATGTCGAGCAGATAGACAGATAAGTGATCATTAGGAGTAGGATAGGCGGCCTTGATGGCGTGAAGGGAGCCTTGAGAAGTGGTGTATATTGCAGGAATGCTGTCTGAATATGAGTTGAAAGGCAAATAAGGCTAGTTTTATAAGAGAATTTGATTATAGAGACTAATAGGACGTAGAAAGAATAAGGATAAAGATGGTAGACAGGATTAGATAGACACTATAGAAGAAACAATAAGTTTATGAAATGTATGAAATTAACTCGTTGAGTACCGTCATTATAGACACAATTAAACTGTCAAACACCAAGCGGTCACCGGTGACCGCAACCTATTGTTCTTTAATTGTGTCTATAATGACGGTACTCAACGAGTAAAAGAACAATAGGTTGCGGTCACCGGTGACCGCTTGGTGTTTGACAGTTAATGTGTTGAACACAGATTTATGTTTGTAAAAGAGGTTTTGACCTTTTTGATGTAAAATAATATAATCTTTAAACAAAATAGACGTTCTTTATCTTCTCTTCTTTTAAATTACTGCAATTTTTTCGTAGTAAGATCAACTTCAAGAGTTATTGAAGTCTTTATTCCATTCGTATTCATAAAAGTGATTGCTTTAAAACCAACTTCAGCCTTGAGCTTTGTGCTAAGCTTGAAGTGTCAACTGTTAGATAAGGCCAGCCAGGCTTAAAGAAAAAGCTTTGGAATTATTCCTTTGTAAACTAAAACGCATAAATCATCGTTTGAAAGCCGGAATGGAATTTTATTTGTAATTCCTCGTGGCCTTTGGAAAACGTGCACAATGCTTTGAATGGGTGCTATCGAACATTGCAGCCTTTTCATGGCATACATTTAAATTTTAACGTACAATTTTTCTTTGGCGTATGTAAATATGGAAAATTTGGGCTATCGTGTGAGTATTTGTAGTTTTAAAGTTAGTGAGATTGCCAATTACAATAGCCATTTCTGAATTGTATTGCAATTGTATTGATTAGAAGAAAGAAAAAAGATAAAACAATATTTGCAACGTATATACATCATAACATCATGCCTTTTATCCCCGAAGGGGTAGGCAGAGGTGCACATTATACCACTGTACAATGTAACACGCACTTTTCACTATTTATGTTATGAGTCCCATGTAATAGGGGGTGAGCCTATTGCCATATGGCACAGTTCCAGACTCCGTGCTACTACTGAGAATTTTTTAAAAACCCAGTAATACTTTGCTTGACCCGGGAATCGAACCCGGCAGTCGCAATTGCGACCACTCAGCCAACGAGGCAGTCCGCATGCAACGTAATATAACCAAATTAAAATTAGATTGATTCTAGTAGGATAATAATATGATTCTAGTACCTACTATTGTTCATGGAATATACAAAACTGAGAAATTCTGATTAAGAAATATCAATTATGTAAAAACTAAAATATTTACACCATAATGTTAATGTTTTCAGGAATTCTGATTAAATATATATTAGACTATTTCATCCAAGAATGTGATACCCTTTGTGACTGACATTCAGCTAAATCTAGTGAGAGTTCAGAGTCAACCCTAAAAAATAATAAGGAAAAGAAAGACATTATTAGGCTTTATAAATAACTAGGAGACTAGGCAAATTTGGTTCCGCCTAAAAAAAAAAATTCTCAATTTTTAAACCTTCCTAGTCTTCCACAAACATTTCAAGACCAAAATTAGCCAATCGGTGCAGCGGTTCTCGAGTTTTGGCGAGACGAACGAACGTACATTCATTTTTAATTATATAGATTATAGAAGAATAATAATAGGAAATGACGAAACTTATCAATCACAATATTATATAAAATTCAACGTACCCAAAAATACTTCTACTGGAGGTTATACTTAACATTTACAAGATGGACATGTGACAAATGTTTCAAACATAATAATACAAGAACAATAAATTCCAGTTAAAGGTCAGATACCTTCAAAGTTAAAATACAGACTTAGGGCATACTTGACGAGTTCATAACGTTTTATGTCAAGTTCTCTTGAAACAATGAAGTTTAGATGAACCTTGAAAACTGCTTGAGGCTTGAGGTGGTTCACCCACACACGGCGGCACTCAGAAACTTTGTTTATGACAAGTTACCAGTACCTAGACTTTGAGATTAAAGGACGTTATATTAAAGATATTATTTGCTTATAACGAATGAATAATAATGTTAATAATGTTCTTAATAAAGCTCTTTCCTGTATGGGAATAGGGTAGATGCCTAATTTTTATTTTAATGTCCGTCTGGTAAATTATTTTAAATCATTAGACACGTATTTTTTATTTTCTTATAGAAACGAATACTTTCGACGATATATTAATTTGAAATGTCGCGTGACGTCACTTCTATGTACATTTTATACGTAGAAATGACGTTTTAGCCCTCACTCCTAAACTTTGATTCTTATTATCTCTAAGTATTGTGTTATTATACAACAAAATACAAAAATACGTGTCTAATATTTTTTCATAACCTAACTTACGGACTAATTATATTTTTAGTTTTCATACCCTGTCATCATCCCAATTGTGTTTGACATCAGAATCTTTACGACAATGGTTAGGATTGACGATGTACCTGATTTCAAATATTTACCTGAACACCGTGCTATTAAATTTATCTCATGCCTTCTCATGCACATATTGAGAGTAATCAGGCATTTATTTGTTTATGACTAATTAAAAAAATACTGTGTGACTGTTTGTGATTAATAATTAGTAGAAATTCGTGATAACATATAATGTAGAAAGGCAGTTAATGTGACAAAGTTTACTATTTAGCTATGTTCTTCCGCCAAAAAATATTTGCTTTCCAGTGCTTTAAATACAGGAAATACTTAACAGAGAAGTACAGTTACTAAACCGTTATTTTAAATACTGAATGTGGACTGTGTGGAGTTAAAGTTAACTGTTAAAGAATTACTCCTTATATCCTTGTTATAAGATCTACTTTCGTTTAACGTATGTACATTAACCCACAACACTTCAATATTTTTTAGAATAACAACTTTTATTTTTATAAACATACTTAAGTCCACTGATGTTTACTCCGAACTCCTAACATAGTAGACAGCAATTTTACTGTCATACACTGTGTACTAGTATACTTATAAAACACTAGCTTCTGCCCGCGACTTCGTACGCGCAATCCTGTTTCTCCCATTCCCGTAGGATTTTCAGGACTTTTTTCTGTCATAAGAACCTTCTCCTGACGATAACAAACACAACAAAAAATCTGCCAAATCAGTCTAGCCGTTCTCAAGTAATGGCGTGACAACGGGAAACGGGTTTCATTTTTATAAATATAGATTCTCAGAATAATTAGAAATTGAAACACTTAATACCAACTTAAACAGCATTATTTGGGTGCTTCAGTTATTTTGTTCTTTAAATGTAAGACAAAAAATTATCATCATTATCATCAACAGCGACTAGTTCACTGCTATTACAACCACGAGTTCTCTTTACATAAGAGATAAAATTATATTTTATACTCCATACTATGTTCGCATTTTTCCAATCCACTAACATTAAAAACACCTAAATCCAAGTTCCGTACCCATAGTACTTAGGTACATTTACCTCCGTCCAAATTACCGGTGTAATCTGTAATGTAGTTAGCGAAATGTGGGTTTCGTCCTAACTACTTGATGTCTCTGAGGATCCCTTCGAAGAACTGGCATAATGCTATTTGTTTTATCATTAACGTCATCGTCTCCGCCTGGTGCCCACGCATTAACTGTATCTGACGTATCAAAGACTAGGAGTCGTCTTATTAGCTTTTTGTACGAAGAAGAAATGTGGGTAGTAAGTAACATTTGCCTCTCTTGGGATGTTTATAGGTAAGTGGGATGAAGACGTTCAATCTTAAAACAAAATTGTATTTGAAATCAATATAAATAAAAATGAATTTCCGTTCGTTAGTCTCGCTGAGTTAAACTTGAGAACGGCTGAACCGATTTGGCTAAATTTAGTCTGGAAATGTTCGTGAAAGTCCAAGGAAGGTTTAAAAGGAATTTTTCGGTAGTACGTTAGTTAGCTAGGTAGTTTGTCGGGTCAGCTAGTACTATAAATAAAAATATCCTATGTTGTAGCTTAATTATTGTACAATCTTCTTCCACGGCCCACGTTCTTAATTACCATTATGATAGCTAGTAATAACATCACCAGTTACTGTGCATTTTTCGTCTTCTATGTTATTAATCAGTTGTATAAGGAGTGAGGTTATAAAAAAAAGATCGAAGTTGAAAACTCATTAGGTGTTGTTTCCGACCCGCAATTTTTTTGTCAGCCCGCTGTCGTCAGGAGTCACCTTTAAGTTCAGCATTTGCAATAATTAATAACAATACTGTCAAATTAAATGCAACTAGCACACAAAATAGTAATCCTAAGTGGTTTCAATGCAAATTCCATTCAAAATTTTACAAGCACTAGATCGGCTTTAAAAACCGGTTTTGCTTAATTAAGTCGTTGCATAGACTCGAGACTGAAACCGTTATACTTTTTAAAATATAAGGAAGTGAACAGACATCAGAATCGATCATCATTGATTGCATCAAATATAAACACGATTTTATTTCCTGACCTACATAAAAACTAGGTAAATATTGTATGCTAAGAATTGATTGACATAGTAATATTAAGTTTCTCATTAAATGCATTTTATTTTCGTCAATTTCTTTTTTAGTTTGATAGGTGTTCCTCAGGGTTGTATTCTCGGCCCATCCTTTAATGATGGAGCAAATACGGACATCAATCGCAACAAGGAACACAATAATAGAATAAAAAACCAATCAATTTACTTATTATTCCTTATGCTAGATAAAAATATATCATATTTCATTTTACTATAATGAGTTTTTAATACTTCTGGTCATGTGATAGTACAAAATGCTACAGCTTGGCATTTTAAGTATAAGAGCTGACGCGAGAGAATTTCCGTAATGCAAATAATTTTAATTTAAAACGTTGCTCAACAAAACTCGTTTAGTGAGGAAACATAATTATGCACTTTAAAGTTATGAAGTTTAAAAACTATTTTAGTTTAATATAAAATTATAAATCACTTCAGTACACTGACTACAGTA